ATATAATGTATTAATGGTTCTCAAATCTACACATTTATCATTGCTAAATTCTATTTCTAAAGTCCTGCTTTAAAAGTAATGTCAACATTTATAAATTTAACACAATTTACATTAAAGTACATAACAAAAAAGAAATAAAAACCTCTTCAAAAAACTGATTCTAGTAAAAGGATTACAAAATTATTGTAACTTGATATGCTATTCTGGAACGTATGCTACTAGTTCAAATATGCAAGCTCCAACTTAACAAATTTTTTAAATATTTGAGTTTTTAAAACTGTGCCAAAATAAGCCACATCTTTTCTAGAGATGACATATTTAGCTAAGCACAAGCAATATAAATCTTTCAACCATTTCATGTATTTGCTTAAAAGCCTCAGAAACCATATGCATTTTCAATAAAACACGAACAAAATGCTGAAATCACTGAAGCCTGACAGTTGACTTACAAATCAATGTTTTTAAAAGGCAAATGTAATTTTGTGCATCTGTGTGGGTACATATGAATAGGTAGGTAGGTTAGCTGTAAACAGTAATTACCAAGAACATAATAATGTCTGAAAAATTGGGATTCCATACAAATCACAGGTGAGAAGACAAAATGTGTTATACCTTTTTAAAAAATCATAATGCCTTAATCATAAGTATTTGAAATGGAAACAAATACTTATGATCTTTAAAAATACTACATGTAAAAGAGCATTCTTACACAAATCTATGCATTATTAAAACCACAAATTCTTAATAATCTAACTCTTGTGAAATAAACATTCGGTCAGTAAGTGACCAAAAGACTCTTCAGTTTGTTTAATTATTTATTTGTGGTGCTGAGGATCAAACCTAGGTGCCCATGCATGCTAAGCATGCATTCTGCCATTGAGCTACACCTGTCCTCTTCAGTTTCTGGGAGTGGAAATATACAAAGGATCAATTTATCATTGAAAAATAGTATATAATTTATTCTATAAAGCATTTTAACCATTTTAAATACCTCTACCCATATCTTATTTATAAAAGTAGAATGAGAATCCTCACATACAACTTTGGTGTAACTGCTTGTGAATAGCCAATAACTTGGCTTATAATTTTCTTTTAAATCTCTAACAGTTACTCTAGGAGGTAGAGTGATCCTTGAAGATTAGAATACCATTTTATAAAGCCACACTGTGGGGTTTTAGCATTAAGTAAAATTAAAAATAGTCCAAAGCAAGGTAGCACAGACTTTTAGGAACAGTTCTAAAATAAGTGACATCAGAGCAAGGCGCTCTGAGTTTGTTTCTTCATCTACAGGATGAATGTAATAGTACTATTTCTAAAATCCTCATAATTACTATTAGTTTATGTAATTTTATTGCTATTATACTGTTGTTGATAGGATACAATTTTTAAAGAGATACAAAATGACTTTGTAAATCAATTGTTATGGATAGTAGTGTTGCCTTTTCTGTCTTTCCTTTGAACTATTTAATTTTTACAAAAAACGGACTCTTATGTTACTACAGGAATGTGACTTGATTGTTTAAAGAAAATTGAAAGCAACATCTCTGAGCAAAGGAGACCACTTATGAAGCTGCACTATTACTGAATATGTGGCTAACTGATTTTCAGTAAAGTTATTTCTTCATACAAAATAAAAAGACTACAATATTTGAAATAATGCTGGTTGATATTTTTAAGTGTAAGAAATCAATTAAGTCAATATATGGCTGTAATAGTTTGCATTTGTAATTTTATAGACAGCTCATGTTCAAGAAAATGGGGTATATTTTTGGGAGATTAACTACACTGAAGGATGTTAGGTGTTAGAATTATAAATTTTACTTTGCAATATCATATTCTATAAAAGTTTTCAATGTTGATTACATGAATCCGTTGCTGTAATCCGATCAGTTATGTGTAGGAAGAGATGTTTGGAAACTGTTAAGTGTTTTTATATTACATTATGTATGTTCAAAAATCATAGACAAAACTCAAGAAAAGTTTGTTTTTAAAACTAAGTTGAAAATTCAAGTTTACTTGTGATTTATTTTAAGAGGGTTCAGGAATGAACTATTTTGTAAGAAGAACTGTTTCTCTTTACTTACCTCCATCTTCAGGAAGGCTTAAAGGGAACTGTTTCTGCACATAGGGAGCTGTTATGAGTTACAATCACAGCACAGAGACAAGACTCAATGCATGAGCAAGACATTATTAATTTCTCTATATGGTCACTGTCATATGAGAGGCTAGTGCATAGGATTAGAAAGCAAATCCAGTTAGTTTATTTTTAACCCATGTTGTTCCTTACTTTCCAATTCTCACATTTTTTAAAAAAATCATTAAATGCATGCAACATGACTAAACTCCAAACTTGAATGCAAAGAGATGATTCTGTCGTTTAGTTTAATGGATACAGATTTAAAAAGGAAGAAAAAATGTGTATGAGTATTGTGTATCTTTTGTCACTTGTGAAAAAGCACCTCACATTTTGCTGCAAAGTAAAAAAAACAGATAATTTCTAATGGTATACAACAGAATAATACAATAAATTATCCTTAACACACTTACTCTGGAAATAGGAAATAGTAGATAACTTAATGTAATCTTAAAGATGAATTAAAAATATATATAGACTTACGAAAATTTTCATTTTACTATGCACTTTCCATAATTCAATCTCTGCTTGTCTATTTCAGCCTGCTCCAGGCATAGTCATTTTCTATCGGTCTCTCACCTAATCCATCTAAAAAAGAAAAGTATTTTTGTATAGCAAAATATATAATATCTCAGTTTTATTCATGTTATTATATGCTTTAACTACTTTAAGTGACCTCTTAAATAAAATTTTTAAAAAAATAGGTAACCTGAACCAAATTGCAGGTTTACTCTTTCCTAAGCCCTTACATTGTAATATATTATATACTGTATTCTGTTTCTCCGCAACAAAAATTCAAATCTAAAAAAAGATAATAAATAAGAATAATGAACAGACTTGATGACTTCTTGCCTTTTAGGATACAGACATACTGACACATGCTAATTTTCAAGCCCAAAGTGTCCCAGACTATTTGACAGAAACTTGGCCATTTCTTCAGTTAAGTGAAGCTTAGCTAATCACCCAGCTCAACATTACAAAAATACTAACTATGAATTTATAAGTGCACATTAACAATCTTTTTATTGAAAAGTTTGCATTATTTTTGAGTGAAATGAAAATCATGACTTGATGAATGTAATTTTAACATAATAAACTATTAAAGCAAAGTATACATTTATTTCATGGCATCTCTACTTAACAGCGTTTAATACTAAGAAAGATTGCATACATATATTAGGGAAGACTACACACTCATGTCTTGAGTCTTTCTCATCAGCTGAGAAATATACTCTATATTGGAAAATGCATTTATTTGAAGTTTTGACCTAACACAGTGGATTAAGGCTTAGACAATATTTACTTTGCTGCACTTTGATTCAGAAAGGACCATATGTGAAGATGTGATCCTGACCAACTTCACTATACTTTTATAGTGGTTTTATAGTACAAAGATTTACATTGAACACATCGAGATATAAAATAGTTACAAAATAAACTGCAACCTTATAGCTACCCATTGGTAAAAGTTAATATATTTGGATAAATAACTCAAGTCAGCAGCAAAGTGGTTAAACATTTGTGATTTGATTTTATCTCAGTCTGGAATGTGGTTGGAGTGTCCCACTTCTAACAACTGTTTGCTAAGTTAAGGCTTTTAGTGTTTACACAGTGTTGAATGAAGCAGCCTGGTCACCAGATGTGATCGCTTCCCCCAGACTGCCGTTTTTTTCAGTCAGATCACTCTCCTTAGAGTTCCTGTTCCAACCTTCTTCCTCAGGACATCCACCAGCCTTTCCAACCTAGATTGGGAAAAGGGAGCAGGGCAGGGCGGAAGAAAAGTACAAGTATTGTCAGGAATGTTTTGGCAGAAAAACGACAGTATTTGCCTGTGACCAAACGGTGCTGGTAGTCATGCTAAGGAACAAAGCAATATTGTAAACGAGAGACATTCATACAGAATATGCAAGGACTTGGGATTTAAAAAACATCAACAACACAAACTTTAACTCAGATTACATCAATGTTGGATGGCACACAAAACAATATAGGACACTCACTGAAATAATTTTCCTACTTGCATAAAGATTGTGAATGAATCATTTACAGTGCAGTGACAAAATAGAATATTAAGTGTAGGTCAACTTCAAACTGTGTTTTCATAAAAGAACCACATATTTCAATACAGCAGTAGTAGCAGTCATACTTGTTACATAGATAAGCAAGTGACACATTGGAAGGCCCAACAACTCTTATGCATAACATTTTATTCTTTTTCAGAGTCAGTTGATGAAACTAAAAATAGGAATTAGATGGAAAAATTTTATGTCCAGTGACATTGTAATAAGTTAAATATATGCAGATGATTAGACACTAATATAAAGCAGACATTCTGTACTACATTAAAAATACTTTGCATTTCTGAGTAGTACAGGCTAGGAATTACTATAAAGATTTTATTCTCAAAGAAAAGTTTTTTTTTTTTTTTAGTAAACTGAAACCCCATGGATGTGATAGAGTCAAAAGTTCAGAAGTCTGATTTGCAGTGCTTTTAGGCTAGCTACTCTCTGGGTGGGAGATCACATTCATGTGGATCAGGGAGAGTTTTGCTTAACAAAAGATGATGAAATCAGACCATTAATTGGCTTTCTTCTTTCATTTTCTGTACTGCAAGCATAAAACCTCAACTGAAAGTCTCTCTTGATGTTACACACAGACAAATCTTCCTTCCCAGTCAAAACCATGCCCGGCACTTTTCATATATACAATCTCCCCTCCTCAAAGACTGGTGAGCAGCAGTCTAGTCTGCTCCACAGTTTGCCTCATTTATATGGATCCATGCATGAGAGTCCTTTGCAAATAAACAGAGCACAGAGCTAGACACCAAAGGAATGAGGGTATCCTTAGTGTCCTACACACTCCTTTAGACTATATGGGAGTTTCAGAAAGGAATGGACAAATTAACTACATACAACTCTAGAAACTAGCTCAAGTTTATTGGCAAAACCTGCATGTAGCAAGAATTCTGTTAGTAGAAAACAGGAATATAAAACAAAATATTTCAGTGCATAAAAAGTTTTAAGAAATGTAACCATAATCTTAGAATAAACAGGTATATCTTGCCTAAACTTATTATATATCCACAAACCAGTCTAGAGGTACAAATATCTGAACTAGAAGATTTATAAGAAAATTCACTGTATTCACAGGTTAGTCTGTGCTAGTTGAGCTTTCTCTAGTGTTAAAAGTTAGTACCATCTTATATTAGTATGATTTATGGGAATATGTGAATACTTTTAGGCAAAGTTTTATTAATTTGAATTATAAAATTTTAGTGTAAATTCTATAGTATAAATGTGTACTATAAATTTCTCACTAAACTCTCATAGTAACTTAAATTGTTAACAAATTCTTCCCAGGAGAAATCCTGAAAAGCCATTAATAGCATTTCTTTGCACAGAATCAGAAAATATTGCTTTCAAGTTGGTTAAATATATTTCTCCTCAATAATATCACTTACACTATTAAACTTCCTCAAAATATAAAAGTAAATTCTACTTTGTATAATTATTATTACTATTACTACAAATTCAGAATTAATGAAATGCTTAATCACTGATGAATCTATGAATCTGCGTTGTGCTTCTTTTGGCTTCTCTTACTTTTATTTCCTATTTATACATCGGGACAGCTTTCCATTTAGAACTCGTATCTTGCTAAAGTAAGAGGTTAGGAGGAAATACTTAAATATCATGCTTTGCAATGCCTCTACTATATTTCAAGAACTGCTAGATCAACCACATTCTCAGTTTATCCAGGTTGAATGATTTATGAAAATTTGATCTTTGAAATGAGAAAAAAGTCAATTACTTAGTTTTGCAAAAGCTTAATCACTTCTGAAACATAATGAAGCACCTATTCCTTTCTATATGGAATGGAACCCATCCGCCAAACAGAGGCTGTGACAACAGGAAGCTGAGTATGTGCGTCTGCTGAAGGGGCTTGCAGGGTTTGCCTGGAGGGTACTCTTTACTGCCCAAATCAATAATATCCTTAAAACATTTTGGACCTCACTGAAAATATTACTCAATGATATCTTCCCAAGGGCTTCATGAAATAAGAAAAGGGCTAAAGCAAGGACTAGGAACTTATACAAAGGTCTGTGGTAAAACAGTGCAAACTCTTAAAAGTTCTGAGGTAAAACTGACCAACATGATCCTGGTTTCCTTGTTTCTAGTTCAGAGCTATCTCCATTAAGGTTTGTATTACCACTGACTTGTAGATGACAGTTTGATTATCTGTTTTACTAATATCATTAAAACTTGTTCCCCAAATTCTTAAGTCAAATTAGAAAAGCATCTGTTGGCATGTTTCACTTGCTATTTTAGTAGGAACACATCATAAGAAAGTAAATTCACAGCACTGTGCAGTCAGGAAAACATAAATAGTTAAATCTATTATTTACTATGATGATTTTTGTATCAACTTGAAAATAAATTTACAGGTATATTTTAGGTAGAAATTCTGTCTTTTCAACCAATATTTTAATATTTTCTATGTCATTATATGTTTGCACTATAGTGGAATGCAGTTTTCCATCAAGTAGATAAACCAAGAGCCACTTAGAAAATTTCCGAAATATTTTGCTCTCATTTTTCACTCAACAAATCTCATGATATATTCTGAAAGACGAGTAATACTTAATGAGTATTGTCTCTGTGCCAGAAAAAATGAGAATTATACATTTAAAATTTTCAGTGTAACTCTATGAAGTAGATATTACCATCCAAAGACCAAAACCAAAGGAAACAGTGGTTAATTTGACCAGAGCCACGAAGTTAATGAGTTTGAGCTGGGACATAATGCAAGGTCTAACCATTACTTCTCTCATCTTTCCAGTGCTATGCTGCATGCAAAAGTTTTGAGACCTTTAAGGATTATTTCTGAATTTTTGTGGGCTTGAATGACTCTTATGAAGTAGATAACTTTACTGAAGAGGAATGGAAAAGAGTTAAAACAGAACAAATTCCTTTTCATCAACTGAACTGTACAGAAATAAATATCTCACAGATTCTACTTTTTTAAAAATAATTTTTGTATTTGTCAATGTAACAGCAGGAGAACGCTTATAGGCTGAACAATTTTCTCTTCAGAAAAAGTATTCCTATTGTTTAGGCAATGAAGTTACTCTATCAAACATGTTTAGCCTTTAGAATCTCCTCCAGAAGGAACCAGGGAAATCCGAGTGAGATGGTTAACAGTCATCCTTTATCTTTCTAAAGACACTAAAAATACTTCACGTAAGAGTGGTTGTTAGTATCAAAGATCCTGACCTATTTCAAATATAGGAGAGGATGAGAAGACTTTAAGTGAAAAATTTTTTTCTTTTCTCACTATTGCTGTTCTTTTGCTGTTTTAAGAAAATACTGTTAAAGTTTAACATCTTTTATTATACTTTTGAAATATTCCTCAAAAGATAAAACTTTCTCTTTTCATTCTGCTTTCAAATTCAGGCCTCTGTACCAAAATTTTCTCCTGAGATTTAGCGTAGACTCACATATTCAACTGCTTTCAAACATATTCTCTTATACATACCACAGGACTATGTACTCAGCATATCTAAAAACAAACCTACCTCACCTCCCATGCATATTTCTGTATTTAATTGTCTTGATTGCTATCATTCATTCATTCTCTTAGTCCTTATGCTGGGGAAATTTAGAAAAACATGGGACGCTGTATTTCTTTTTCTGAGTTCAGCCCGGAGCTAAAGAAACTTTGTAATGAAACCACTAATGTAGACAGTGGGAAACAATGAAAGGGCTCCTATTCATCTAGTAATGTCATTTGTCTTTGGCAAGAAAGCAGAGATGGGATGGAAGCTCACCTTAGTCTACAGGTAAGAAGGCCAGAGGGCTCCTTATTAAAAATTCTGGTGAGCATAACAATGTGGAAGTACTTAATACAGTGAGGCTTACACTTCAAAATGATTGAATGATACATGTGTTAATACGTCTCTTACCAAGATAAGCACATCATAGACATGAAGGCTTTCATTAAGCTACAGCCAAGCAGACAGGCATAAGGAGATGGATGTGAAAGCTATTTAGGATACTGGGTCAAAAGGGTGACCTTTGAGAATAAAAATGGGGCAAGCAGGCAAGGGAAGAAGGTTGACTTCTACGTATATGGTCTTGCTGACTGGTTTATTAGTGATGCCCTAACCAAGACAATGGGGAGAAAAGCAGCAGATTTCTCTGGTGAGTATGCGTGTGAGAATGAGTTTGTCTGATACTTAAAATATTGAGGTGTTGCTGAGACATATAAGTGGTGACATTTAGGTACATGGCTATCACAGAATTTTAGGTAGATTTTCGGTTCCTAAACAAATATTGGTTGGGTAATTCCTATGTAAGAAGTTTTGTCCTAGGCCCTGATCATTCAAAGAATAGGACATGGTCCTTGCTGTTAAGGAGCAGCAAGGTGGGAAAGGTCTTCATATGGTTAACTCCGAAAAGTTATTTGTAAATGCTGCCATGAGAGAATAAACATCAGCATTAAATAGCACCTAGCTTTGGTATGGGAGGAGAGGCGAGGTCTGCAAAAGTTTCTTAATAATGCTTGAGTTAAATATTAAAGAATGAGAAAAAATAATCACTTCAAAAATGGGAGTGGAGACAAGAGCAAGGAAGGGCACCCCAGGCAGAGGAGGTAACACGTGTAGGCACAGAGGTGGGAACAACGTGATGTATATCAAGTACTACCAGCAGTGTGGTTTCCTAGGATGATGAAATAACAGACG